ATAACTATAAGGTATAACTTTATAATTAAATTAATTAATTCTAATAATAATTAAATAATATATAATTATCTTATAATTTAGATTAATAGATTTTCTTTTATTAATATAACTTAATATTATATTAATATAAGAATATTTTATAAAAAGAAGTTAAGATTAACTAATTAAAGGAACTTTAGCCTAAGAAAATAATCTTAAAGGTAAGAACTAATAAGAGAGGAGAGATTATATTATAGCCTAATATATCCCTTATTATATATCCTTTTTATTCCTTATATTTTCCCTTCCTAATATACTAACTATAATAGATCTTACTTCTATAAGTATAAGGCCCTCGCTTAGACCTTACTTCTATAAATATAAGGCCTTCGCTTAGACCTTACTTCTATAAATATAAGGCCCTTTATATATATATAATACTTATTATATTTTAGATAGATATTTAGCCCTTAAATTATTAATATACTTTAATTACCTTTAAGGCCTTCTTAACCTATTACTAAGATATAATTACCTTATTATATAATAACGCCGAGACTCTTTATTAATAATAAACCTAATATACCTAGTTTATTCCCTTAGAAAACTCTAGATGTCATAGAAGGCGCGGAAGGAAGAACCTTTCGTTCCTTAAGGCATTAGGTATAAAACGAAAGTCTAAAAGTTCTAAGTGCGGGGGAAATTTTTATAAAAACAATCTAATTTGAGGCATCCGCAAACGATTTCTCCAGACGAGATTTCAGTAGAAAATATAAGTTCGAGGAGCAGATATTAAAGCAAATAAGTCATTTAGTAGCAATAAATACAAAGAGAAACTTAATAAGATATAATATAAATAATAATAGAATAGTAAGAAATATAATAAAAAGAGTAGTAATATATTTATTTCCCCTATATAGAGATATATATACTTATAGAATGATACTGAATTAAAAAAAAGCCTTTACTTGCTAAGCATAGGCCGAATGCTTAGTTGCAAAGCTTACTGTTCTCTCATGGTTACCAAATATAGAAGAGCCGTCCCTGACAAACTCAAACTGTGCAGCAGATGCGGTAAGAAACCATCTAGCACTTCACAGGAAGAGCCTTCTCGCTCGTCGCCTTCTTAGCCAAGGCAATCTCAGCATTGCGCCGACGGACGAGGCCTGGGAGCTTCCTCTTGCCCGCGTAAACCCACTTAGGCAGCTCCCCAGAAATCACAGTGTTGGGCTTCTCGCCCTTGTTGAGACGCTTGATGAGCTGCGATCCCTCGGCGGCACCGCAGCCAACGTTGAAAGACCAACTGACCAGGGCACCGAATTCGTTCTTGTTGAGGGTGACTTTGCTGCTGACCATTTTGGCGATGCATTTCTCGAATTTCTATCATGATATCAGAACTGGTCGTTTGAGCTGTGAAGACGGACTTGAAGACGGACTTACTCTCATGTCATCCGCGAGAAGCTTCTTGCCGTTGGTCTTTGATAGGGGGATTGGGTATTTAACATCAGTGCACTTGGAGTTCGAGCAGAGATGACCGTAGCCTACGGTAGGATAGCCAGCAGCGTCCTTGTCTATCGTAACTGGTTAGTACGCCTGACAGTCCCAAGAGCAAGACATCACTGACAGATATGAGGAACGAAACCCTCAAACTCGCCAATCAGGTCCACGGTAGCCTGGTTAGACGACGGCGCAGAGCAACCTCCGCCGCATTTGGGCTTGACGTATCCATTGGAGCCCGTCTTGACGTAGTAGTCCGAGACGTAGCAGCCATCCGAGATCTTATCCCAGATGGTATTCCCGCTGATATTGGTGCCCTCGGTTTGGCAGGTGATTGTGACGTCGGTGCCCTTCTTCAATACCTTCTTGACCGCATAGCTGGTGCCTGGGCCAGAGCGGCACTTGACGTCGTCGCCGGTGATGGGGTATGCGGCCGCGAGGGAGGCCGTGAGGGTAGAGAGGGCAAAGAGAGTGAACTTCATGGTGAGCAATGTTCTGTAAAAGGGAAGTTGAAGAGGGTTGATGAGTATCAGTTCAAGCTCAAGAGGCCATGACAAACCCTTTATGTACTCAAGTCTCAATGCTGTACAATATCAAAAGGCGGACAAGAACCTTCGGCCCTCATTCCCATCTGGACCCTGAGAAACAATCTGTCATCCCTCCCCAAGACGCCTTCCCCTTTGAGCAGCTGAAGAACACAACTGCCGGCATTCTAGACTCCTTCTTGCACAATAAGACGGGGAAACTAGTATGCCGATTACTACGTTAAGTCTTGCCCTACGCCAATCCGCCGGATTGGGAAGCTACTCAATTGCTTGAATGGGATCGCGGTGGATGTGGGGACTGGTGAAACATCTCGGAGATTAGCCCCGATTCTGCAGGAAAGGCGGGGAACTTTGTTTCTGTGCGACGGGCCGAACCTGAATGTAGATCCGTTCGCTATTCGAAACGGCGTGTACATTCGTTGTTCGCGGAAATTTCCGTCTGACATGAAACGACGGGCTGTGGGCGTGGAGAGATGCATTGATTAGGGTTTTTATCTGCAAGCGATACTGAGTACTATGACATAATGAAGGGGCTGATTCTTGAGTTTGAGACTCTTAATTGCTTTCTGAATGCTACGTCTAGCCAGGTAGTTGAATTCCAAAGGCATGATTGATCAAGTCATGTTGCGGCTAATGTGGTTGTTCAGCGCCGGGACAGGGGTCAATATAAAGCTCTCAGGCGGAGGGTTGCGCATAAACGAGACATAGCAATACTATCCTGAAGGAGCTCAATCTTAGGTCTAAAGAAGATAATTGAAATAAACAGCAGAAGAGATGAACAAGAGTCGATGCTGAACCAAACATCCCCTTAGCGGTTCAACCCATAAAGATCCTTTCCCCATCACAGCTACGTCTAACGTATTCTAATTATTTGGACCATTCAAAATCCAACTCAGATTGAATCTCCTCCACACTATCGCTCTATGATCGTTCTCCGACCCTCCGGCCTGGTAAAAGTCTGTCTCAACCAAAGCACCAACCTTTCGATCCGCTGTTTTTGTCAAACTCGAGTAGCCGCCCTCAAACCCAACACCTGAGATGGGAGCATCAGAGAGCTTCCTTCCGTAGTTGAACTTCTTCGCATCACCGTCGTAGCTGATCCGTACGCGCATGTGCCTCCGGCTGCTCTTGTGCGCAGAGTTCATGAAGAGCGTGCGCGCTGGGCCGTTGGCGTCCTTTTTGTTGTAGAGGAGAGTGGATGCTTCGCAGGCTGGGTCTGGGAGACCCTTGTCGAGGACGAAGGGGCTGAATGCAGACAGAGAGCCTCGGGCGACTTTACGGTATTCATCATCGGCAGAGGCACGGTCGTTTCGGTAGAGTTTTCCGTCAGGGGTTTGGGCGACTGTGCCTTCAGAGCCGGCGCCTTTGAGGGATTGGTAGGACCATGTGCGCTTGCCGGGCTTGCCACGGCCGATGATGTTTCTTCCTTGAGCGGGAATGACGAGTTCACCAGAAGAGAGAGTGATGCCGATTCCGGGACCGACAGCATCCCATGACCATCCGTCAGGCGTGAGCTGCTTCGTCATATCCACAGGTTCAGACCAAGTCTTGCCGTCGTCGGCGCTCTGGGTGAGGAAGATATGACGTCTTCCCTCCCAAGAATTGTTGATCTTCTTTGTCTTCTTTCCGCTGGGGAGGGTATCACCGCCGTTTTGGCTGTAGGCGCCGTGGTTCCAGCTTAGGAACAGGTAGATCGTGCTTCCGTCAACCACAGGCGTGGGATTTCCCCAAGTGCCATCTCCCTTTCCGACCACCTCTCGGAGGGCATCCCAGTCGCTGGGGCTCTCACCGTGGCTGTTGGTGGTCTTGGTGCGCTTGTAGACAAGATTGACGTCCCCGTAGTCTCGATTGTTGTGCCGCCGACCTTCGGCGAATGCGAGGATGCGGCCGGTAGTTGTAGTAACCACAGCGGGGATTCTGAATGAATGGAAACCAACGCCGTTTGGAAGCTTGTCTGCGTTGCGCATGTTGGAGCTGCGGAATAGGGCGAAGCCTTTGTGGTAGGGTGTTTGATTCTTGGCTGGGTCATTGACGTTGGCTAAGACGGTGCAAGCCGTGAGCAGCACCAAGAGCAGAGCTCTGATGGAGCCGTTGAACCTGAACATTGTGTTTGCCATGGGGATGTGATTTCACTTCTCACTTAGCGAAAACCATCGGGAGCAACAGATGTTTTCGTCACATTGATATATGAAACTATACATGCTTGGATAGATGACACAATCGTCAGAACCTTGCCTGTCGGGGGATTTGGATGAATGATGACAACTGATTGACTTCAGGATTTACTACCGACAATATCAACAGTTTCGAATAGATCACCCACGTGCTCGAGGACATCCCTTGACTGGAGAACACCACAATTCTTGTCAGTGCTCATTAATCACATGCAGATCAATTAATAGACATCCTTCCCAAGGGTAATTGGTCACACGCAGATTAACTAATAGACGTCCTTCCCAATGTGGATAAGGATATGCAGACGATCATCACCCCTGTTTTTAGTTTCATCAACTGGAATGAAATGCCGCGATGATCCTCCGCGGTGAAACAACTAAAGAGGAAAGTGGTCCGATACCCTTTTGAGATACCTCCGTGGGAGCTGAATGAAGAGCTAATATAGAGTCAGCAAGGGCCGTTTCTGAGGCCCAGAGCACTGTCGATTGGGGGAATACCGGGGATGCCGTCCTGTTCCGGAACCCTTTCGAGAAGGTCCTTCAATCTTAATATGCAGGCTGCCAGAAAAGTTCCGATGACCGTTAATCAAATGGAATAATGGATTCCTCCGTCTAACAGACTGAGGCTTTTCAATCTGTCCGTCTTCATTTTGATTTCGATCGTTAGTCGTTTGTCGTTATGCTCTCCCTCAGCTGAAGGGGTGATAGGTGTTGGTCCAATTTCTATAAAGTGAAGCAACCGTCAAGTTCTCTTTCATGTTCAATATCACCAGCAGTCAAGATAGCTCCTTAAATACCTCTCAAAATGAAGTTGACAACTTTCTGCGCCTATGCGCTCGCATTCTTTTCTACTGGAGTTCACTCCTATCCCGTGACCAGCGACAACCTCAACTGCCGCTCCGGTCCAGGCACGGCCTTCGCCATTAAGAAATCCTACAAAAACGGCCAGGATGTCACTATCACCTGCCAGACTGAGGGTGACAACATCGAGGGAAATTCCATCTGGGATAAGACCTCTGACGGCTGCTACGTTGCCGATAAATACGTCAAGACCGGAAAGGACGGCTACGTCAAGGGCAAATGCACCAACGTCCCTAAACCTCCCAAGAACAACAAAATTCCAGGTCCTAGGGTCAACGACTATCCCTACAAGAACAGCTGCGGCCCAGCGGACAAGTGGCTCTACTTCAAGTGCCAATGCACCAGCTTCGTGGCATGGCGCGTGAATGAGCGCCTGGGCATCAAGTTCCACAACAAGTACAAGGGGAAGGCGTGGGGAAATGGGAATCAGTGGGATGAGGCTGCTAGGGCGAGTGGTGTGAGGGTTGATAATAAGCCTGTGCCGGGCTGTATTGCTCAGACTAATGCTGGGCAATTCGGACATGTTGCTTGGGTTTCTGCTGTCGATGGGGATATGGTTACTGTTGAGGAGTATAACTGGAACAATCACAGGGCTTATGGGACGCGCAGGGTTCATAAGAGCAAGTTTAATTACATCCATCTCAAGGTCTAAGGGCTTCTGGTTGATGGCTTGGGCAAAGGAAGAGGGATATGGGGTTGGAGAAGTGATATTGGGATGTCAGGAACTCCCAGATCAGCATTATTATTCTTGGAGAGATGTATAGTTTGCGAATGTATTGTAACTTTTGATTAACGAGTGGTTGAAGACTGAAGAGAGCCTCTGATAGAGATTTAGTAAACTCCTTAATGGTGAGAATAGGTACAAAGGAGTATATAGATCGGTAGGCACTAAATAATCGCCTATGTCCAAGCGATCGTCTGGGATTTCGGTCTAATAATCAAGCCGGCTGACTTTGGTCGAGAATAGCGGCAGTCTAAGCCTCCTGATGTTATAATGAGTATATTAATTACGAAATATAGACCACTTGTCTATTTGGTCGTATAGAGAGTCTAAGTTATCTCTACTTGAAAGCGTCATAGTTGAACGGCGAGAACGTAAAGTTAAATCACTAAGTAGAACCAGGGGGCCGTGACTCGGACTTGCCTATCCTGATATCATATCCGATATGATAAATTATCCTGATATCAGGATAACACACTATCCTGATATGATATCGGCTTAGCAGGATAGCAGAGATGATATCAGCCTAGTAGCTTTAGCAGCTTTAGCAGAGATGATATAACAACAGATACATCTAAGCTTAAAGGTAAATAACTATTTCATTCAATTCTAATCTAGATCATCATCCGAATTAGCCCGAATACTACCATTTATTTCACCGTCCACGACAAGCCCTCTACCACCACGTGATGATAGTATAATGGGTCCTTCACAGCCAGTTGCGGATGCATGCAACCTTCTCTAGATTAACACATGACATCCTTTCGCGATCCCATGATAAAGTGCGTCTTCCTCCACTAAACGCAGACTCGGGGTCAGCAGAACCAGGGGGCACAGATAGTATATCGATAGCCATGCGACTGAGACGCGGATATATCCGAACCTAATCCCTCTGATATTACCACACCAGAGGAGAGCCTTCAATCTTTATTGGCTGGGCGTGGATAAAGCTTTCGAAGTCATCTACGTCCCCGGTTATGTCCTCAGCGACCATAATCTCGTTCAGAAGCCGATCAAGCTCGTTTGGCTATCCTTGCTGCGACCTAGACGCTTCGCTTAGCGCCTGGGCAGGTCCGAGGGCGGGCGCTATCTTGTATTCTTCCTCCCAGATTGCACGTGCGTCCCTAATGGCAGTCTCCGCCTATTCTTCCTTCTAGTATATATCAAGGTATCGTGCTCGCTTCGACGGATCGAGGAGGAGGGCAGTTACATAGATAGGTGACTCCCTAGATACTACGCAGTACCTACCTGCCGGTAATACCCACCTGCCGGTAAGCAAAAAAAATATTTCCCTATATAAAATGCCTAATTTTACTTATATAATATTTTATTAAAAAGAAAGATTTTTTTATAAGAAAATATCTATTATATTAAGAATTATATAGAATTTAATATTCTAATATTATTTAGTTAATAATATATATAATATAGTCTTATAGTACTAATATAAAATATCTTAAAATACCTCACTTATTACCTAGCCTCCTTAAAGCTTTATTTAGAATTTTCTCTTTCTTATCTTTCCTTAATTACCTTAAATATGCCTTAATTATTTTATATAGAGGAGGATATTATTTAGGCTATACTAGATATTATAGATAATAGCCTCTCCTAGAACTAGGCTACCTAGAAGAATAGCCTACCTTAAATTACTCTCTTTAACTAATTAAGAGGCCTATTATTAAGATCTAAGGTTATTTAGCCTACTTAGCTTTTATCTAAGTTAAAGGAGTTTAGATTAATTACCTAGATACTTCGATAAGAGGCCATAGGCTATGCTCCTTCTTATAGCTAAGTTTACGCTATTATTACTATCCTCTTAAGATAATAAGGATAAGAAAGGCATATTAGTATATATTAGCTAACTAGGTTTATTAAATACTATAATAATATTAAGATAAAGGTAAGGAAATATTAGGAAGCTATAAGGTTTAATTTCTTTACCCTAATAATTATTAATTAATACTTTAATATCTATAAGAGTAAATATAGCTAAATTAAACTAGAGAATATAATTAATATTAATAAGGGCGGTATTATAGCTAGATTTAATAAGTATTAATTATTTTTGCTATAAAATTCTCTAATTTATTAAAAAAAAATAGGCTTAGATTCCTTAGTTATTAATAATAATAATCCTAAGAGGAAGGCTTTTCTTAAGGGCTCTTAGTCTTATACTTAGATTACCTTTATTAAAGCTATTACTATAGATAGCTATCTTCTAAAGCCAGGGATTATCTTTAAAGGTAAAGAGCTTTAATAATAATAATTTATTAATAAGCTCTAAGGGGTTATTAATTAATATTATATTATATCTAATAATAACTAAATAGATAATTATATCGTAATTAAGTAGCTTAAGGAGGTCTATCTACCTTAAATATAATTAATAAATAAGTCTAATATAAGGCTTATTATATTAAATAGCTATAAGAGCTATATATCTATAAGTATTTACCTATTTTAGATTAAAAATATTATTAATAGCGCTAATTAAAAATCTAAGATAAGTAAATAGCTATATACTTTTTAAATAATATATATTATTATTACCTACTTATATATTACTCTTATAATATATAACTACTTAATAATAGCCTATTTAATATATCTAAGGCTACCTATCGAAAAGAACTATAGAAACTAATTAGCCTAACTGATTTTATATTAATAAATAAGGTTAATTTTATTAAGGCCTATATTAAAGCTAGGGAAATAAATATAATAAAGAAAAATATACTCTTAGGCTAAAAGGTAATTAAAAATTAGCCGATTTTATAGTAGAAAGCGCTTATATATCCTAAAATTTAGCTAGATAAGAAGGAAATAATACCTAGGTTAGATAGCTATTAAGATAAGTAAATTAACTCTAATAATACGCTAAAGACTAGCTATTATATCTAAGATCTAAGGAAGAATAAGAGTCTATTAATAAGAAGGCGCCATTCTATAATATTAAGAGGATTTAAAGCTTAAGAGTTAAAGATTATTTCTCTAAGTACTAAAATAACTAATCTAGAGGAGGAAATTAGCCAGTTAAGTAAAGGTAAGAAAAAGAAAGTAATATTAAATCCTAATAAAAGATTTATAATATTAATAAAGGCTCTATTAGCTAATAAGACTATTTCTAAGCTAAATAAAGTAATTAAAAAGGTAAATATTATTAAGGATATAATCGAGGTAGGAGGGATAGAAGAAGATAAGAGGTTAAATTTAGAGGAGGAAGAGTTAGCTATAGTATATATATACGTAGGGCATAAAGTTAAAATATTACGAAAATATTAAAATCTACTTAATTCTAAAATAAAATTTGAAAATTATTTTATAGGTTTTATTTTTAGTAAATTTTCTATATATAGTTAAAAAATTATATTTTATGTAGGGAAATTTTTCTTTTGCTTACCGGTAGGTGGGTATTACCGGCAGGTGGGTACTGCATAGTAAAGCATAGTACTTATTAAGTATACACTAGCCCATATCAATAGGGTGCAGCATGAGAGGATTATGTGTCTCCTCTGCTTCATAGAGTTCCTAAAGAGATGATCAGTAACTAGTTAGTTTAGTTAGGCGAAAGATAAGATAATACCTTCTTCTGCTCATAGTAGCGAAGTAATACCATAGAAACTCGAGAAATTCAGAACCTTGGCAAAGTGGATATAGTCAGATTTATGACTAGCCAATGGCTGCTCTGGATATAAGGAGGAGATAAAATAGCTACTGCATATGTAATTAGATTGATTTATGGGCGTGGCTGCGCGCTAAGGGTTTAAACGTGCATAGTGGAGTAAAAGCCCACTTTGCTAAGGTTCTGAATTTCTCGAGTTTCTACGGTATATCCATAATCATGAGGTTTTGCGAGAGCGTCGCCGTCACGCCTTAAGCCCATAAAGTCATAGATATAAAAGGTTAGAGAAACTCGTGTGTTTTCTCAAGGTAATCCCAATCGGAAGAGGTAAGAATATTATTACCTAGAGCTTTGTTATAGTTACGTAGGAATTGCTTTACTTGCTGCTTTTTCCTTATTAGATTATCGATTATCCTGTGCTATGAATTCCAGCGCGTATTATTATTAATACTAAGCCGTAATTTAATGCGCTCATCCTATGCATCATTGTGGATAGATGAGTTACGTAGCCACAGTCCGATCCGGTATAATTTGCGCAGCGCTGGTATCATAATCTAGCCCTTCCTCCTGGTGGTATTATCTGACCTATCATCTGATCTCGATAGAGGATTTCCCTTCTGAGTGAAAGCCTTTTTGGATGCGACGCCGCTAGGATATCTCGTCTAAGCTCCTATCTAATCTGGCTAGTTTGGTGTATCATTACTAGACGCGTCGTTTAGGACGAAGTTGAACCGTTCGTAGAGCTTATCCCTAGTGATATCGTTAGTAGTATTAAGGGTGGCTTAAAGTGCTTCACGTGAAGACGCGAAAAGAAAGGTTTAAAGGGATAAGTTAATAACATAAAGAATATAGCGGATACGGTGCTATTTCAGATCCCAGTTAATCTACTATAGATCAGACGACTAGGTGAGAAAATAAGGCTAGGGTATGACATATATTACGGTCCTGCCTAAGCTTGGTGGATAAATGCTGCAAATATCTGTCATTTGATGTCGCATTATCACCCGTATGATAGCCGAGTTGATTCGCGATATCATAAAGGTCGAGTATTAAGAAGATAAGACGAGACTAATGTTCACTAGAATAACTATGTCGAATCTCTAGCAGACTCAGAAGCGCTCTTCTAGGTTAGTAATCTTTATTAACCCATCGTGCGCACACTGCTAGCACACCATGGCGATGTGGCGATATCCAGAGATCAGATGAGATTTAGACCTTCGAGACGGCACTCTATAGCTTAGCCTTTAACTGCGACTAATATAGGCTAAAATTTGCAGTAATATGGCGCATTGCTTTATATCGTGATGTTATTATGAGGTCCTTAATTGCGGGATTATAGGCTAGCATGACGTCCTGCATCTTATCCCACGTAACTGCCGAAAAGGGAAGGCGACGATATGTGAGAAGGCCAACCATGCTCTCAGTATAACGCTGAGGATTGAACATTGCGGAGGGCCGATTCTGATGGGGTTGCTGTATAATAATTGTCGAGCCTAGCTTGCTTTAATGGAGGACCCATATCTAAGGATCGTTCGAGCATTGTATTATCCGAAGAGTTAACGATATCGTAGTATTTGCGCTTCGCGTGGTATATAGCGTTATCTCGTTTAGTGTTTGACTAGGACTGATTAGAAGAATAGAGAAGGCATTCATAAACCACTGCTCCCTTCGTTCTACGCTTCCCTGATGGTCCGAACTGGCCCTTATTGGGATATGTCGCGCGGAATATGCAATCGAAGTTTAGGACCTCAGATAACGCTGATTCTGCATTAACAGGAGGATCAATAGTCATCTGGGACTGTGAGGTGTAATCCGGGGGTTGCTATGATGAAGAAGCCATAATTAAGAATAGGAGAGGCGCGAAATAATAAAAGTATTATATCTATATACTTAAGTGATATTTGAGAGATTTGAAGATTGTAAACACGGAACGATCGGGTGTTATTAGACGATAAGATAAAATCTAGCCAATCAGAGCGCGCTGTTTATCCTAATATCTATCCTAATATTAGGATAAGGGAGCCTAGCTTTACCCCATATCTGATATATCATATCGGATATAGCAGGATAGCAGAGATGATATCAGGATAGTATATCAGGATAGGCAAGTCTGGTCGTGACGACTAGCAGAAGGTCTCCCCAGTTGGTTTCGGCATAGGTTACCCAAGCCCTTAGCATCTTTCAATTTCCTGATTCATCCGCTCTTGCCCCCCGTCCGTCTGAGGATGGTACGCCGTTGATAAGCGCCGTTTGACTCCCATCGGCGTGCAGAGGTGTGTCCATACGTCGCCTACGAACTGTGGCCCTTGATCGCTGGTAATTGTTGTTGGGATGCCATGGTAAGGGAAATAACACAAGAAGAGTCTTCGCGCCACTGCTTCTGCTAAGATATCGTCCATACATTCTAGGATTACTCCTTTTGTCAGACGGTCGGTAATTCCCATGAGGTTAGGAGCATTGTCCCGTCCGGTAGGTGGGAGCTCCGTGATGAAATCGATGTGGATCTCCGACCAGATTCTTTCAGGTATCGGCAGGGGCTTGAGAAGGCCTTGCTTCGACTGCCTCCAAATGGTGGTCCTCTTGCACGTGTCGCAATTGTTCAGAAACTGCCGTACTTCGTTTGTGATACCAGGCCAGAAAAACTGTCTTGCGACTAGCGCGTATGTCAGGTCTCTCCCCGGATGCCCCGTTAGATGAGAATCGTGTGTTTCCTGTATGATACCTGTCCGCAGAGGCTCACTATTCGGAATCCAAAGCCGGTTTCTGAAGTGCTAGAGTCCTCTTTCGTCGAGCGAGCATTCCGATACGCTCACAGGGGTATTCGCAGCAACCTTTGTTGCCAGGCTGCTGTTTCCTGCTGCCACTGCTCGAGAGATTTCCTTGTAGGTTTCATCCGTTCTTCTCCCATTAGTCCATGCTTTCTGCATCTCTGAAACTTAGAACGTAGGCACCTCGTGCTCGAAATCCAGTGGATCGCTCTCCTTGGCTGCCACGTCGACGGTCTCTGCTCCTTCGGTCTTTCCAGTTGCAATGTTTACGCTCCGCAGGTTCTCATCTTGGAATAGCTTTCGGAAGCGCGCCCTCAGACGTTCGTCACCTCCCTCCTTAGGCATGTCTTGTGCTCTTCTGGATAATTGGTCGGGAAGTTCCGATTCCTTGCCAGGCCTCCATTCGAGAGTGAAATTGAATTGCGACAAGAACTCTGCCCATATGATTTGCCGTTCAGACAGCTCTCGTTCTTTATAAAAGTAGCAGAGGTTTCTGTGATCCGTCATGACCTTGAACTTGGTCATTATCAGCTCCGCTCTCCAGGCTTTGAGACATCGCACGATCGCTAACAGCTCCTTGTCGTAAATCTTGTAGTTCATTTCGGCTGGAGAATGCTTCTGGGAAAAGAAGGCAACAGGTCGCCATCTGTTCTGATCATCCAGCTGTAACAAGACTCCTCCTGTGGCATAACCTGAGGAATCGGCGTCCACCCTCGTTTCTCTATTCTCGTTGAAATGAACGAGAACGGGCTCAGTAATCAAGGCATCCTTCAGGGCAAGAAAGAACTTTTCGCAATCATCTCCTCAATAGAATTCTGTTCCTATACTCGTAAGACGGGTGAGAGGCTTTGCCTTGTCCAGGCTGGCGATCCATTCCATTTCCATCCATGCAGCCGCTTCTAGGTAGAATGGATGGACGTCCATTTCGGTCGGCCTTGAGTGGAATGGATGGAATAGACGGATAGAGGGGTCGCGTGGAACGGATGGATGTGGAAATGGATGTGTGGAAGCTATAGAGGGACAGTACATGTTATCCTCCCACCCGTTGCTTCCCGGGCTTCCGCAAAGCTCAGTTCAGCCAACGCGTCTGTGCCTGACAGCTCGACCTCTTCAAGTAGCGTCTCTGTACTCCTGATATATCCCCCACGAAGCCACGACCTCACTGTCTGCGTCATTCCAATCGTGCTCGCATCCAGATTAGCCCGATCGTCTCGGACCATTCTGCCGGCCGCCGAGAAGAGTCTCTCAACGTCAGCAGACATTGGGAGGATAGAAAGCATATCGAGAGCCATCTGTGATAACCGTGGGTACTCCTCCCGTCTTTCATGCCGGTAGCTAATAGGATCTAGGACTTTCTGATCCGACTTGTGGACGTCGCGAAGCCAATCGTTATATTCGTCGCCAACAATGAGTGCTACCCTGTTAGCCATATCGTTGTTGGCTTGTAACAAGGCACATGGTGATGAGGGCGGCTGTGATAACGCCGGGGCCTGACGGGATTCTTCGCGGTACTCGTCGAAGTGATTCCGATACATTCGCCGCTTCTTTGTGACTGGCTCGCCGCGTTCTCGATCCTGGGAAACAATCTGTGGCTCGTAATGCGACAGGTATAGCCCCTCTACAAGGGACTTTGCTCTTTGGGTCCAGTTTGGCCGATCCGCCCACCTGTCCTCGAAATATTCCCTACGATAAGCTGGATGAAATGCAATGGCGGCGTAATAAACTGGTATTTCGTCAAGCCGCGAGTAATACTCGTCAAGTTTCTTCCAGCAGGGGTTAATATTGACCTTGAAGTGCTCAGGCTGCGAGGAGCAGCGGCCGTATATAGCTCCATTTTACTAAGGAGGTATTCGTAGCCCAGCATGATATCCCACGGGCATCCATATGCTTCGACATGGCTTTGCTTCCTCGTTCGCTGTTGACCGTCACCTTCGAGGGTAATCAGGACGTGCTCGAAGTGTTGCAGGACCTCCAGTGTGTCCAACAACCAACTTGCTTGACTCGTCACGAGCTCGGATTCTCTGAAGTGTCTGATTGGATGTGTGTAAGTTCTTGGTTTCGCCAGGTCCCCGCTCTGAGTTCTGTTGGATACGCGATGGGGTAGGGGTGAATTCAGTAGATTGTGGGCCACAAATTGATGATCTTATTGATTGAAGTCTAGATGATCTTGTTCTTACTCGCTTCGTTATCGTGCGGGGGCGTTGGTCCATTCTTGATGTTTTCACCGCCATAAGCCACACATTGTTATAACGAAGAGCAAACTCTCTTCTATCCGTACACAGGCACCAATCTAACACCAACAGTTAGAAGCCTTCCTCTGTAGCTCAATACAATCTCTTCTGCCCATACCCTTAGTATCACACCTAGTCTTCTGAGAACTTTAGCTGCCGCAGTAGAATAACCCAGATCACGTGCAACATATGAGATGTATTGTCACACTGGCAATACAATACAATATAGGCCAATGTCATATGGCCTAATACAATATGCACCATTTGGCAATACAATAATATTGCGAGGCTTCCATATTGCCAATATACGTATTGTTTATATTATTCGCAACACTGCATGTCCGGAGGCAGTTCTCTTGAGCCACGTAAGCAGGGTCTGTGGGTGAATCGGGTGGCATTTGGGATTCGGGTGACTGTTAGCAACGGCATGAACATATCAATGCGGAAATGCATTCACCAGAGAAAAGGTCAGAACGCACCGCGATCACCTCGGTTCTCAAGATGATGATGAGAAGAAGCAGGTGCCCCTTGCAGAAGCTCCAGGATGGGCTGGTGTTATGGCGGCAGTTGAGAAATGACTCGAAGGGCCGAGCGTAATGACAGGGATCATTCGGCCTAACATTGCCGTCATCTTACTCAAAATGGAGCACCTCCACCTTCCAAGGCGGGGTTGGTGTGCCTTGATCCGCCTTTCCCCTCCACCTCCTCCTCGATTATTCACGTCTCTTCCAACCTCACGGGTGATAATGGCGTCAAACAAGGGGTTCTCATTGTTCTTTCTGCACCATAACCCCACTGGAAGTCCACCGGACGATAGGCAGCTAAATGCTGCAGCACGAGCTCATGTATCGCGGCAAGCTCTGAAGAACAGGTCCGCGCGGCCAAGAAACCTCAAGTTCGTATCTTACACCCCGGAGACAATGCGTCATGGTGATGGCTCTGGTCCCTCCACCAGACCCAACGATACCTATGGCGAAGAGCGCCAAGTATCAGCCATCGCTGACAGAGATCGTGGGGTAACTGATCCGGCGAGTCGGCGCATGTCATCCTGTCCACTCAGGCCTGCCGGTTGGGACCCATTCCACTCTTTCGCAATGTCTGGGATGGGACGAGACGAGCATCTGATGCTCTATTACGGTGAGTCATGTCTGATTCGCAGCATCTTGTCATTCATGCATTGAAACCAGCCACCCTAACGAGATTCTTCAAGCGTTCACCACAACTTGGCCCCAATTTGGAGAATTTGAGAGCGGAAGGCGTAACTTCGCGCAATCGTGGTTATGGCGTACTCTGGAGTCCCCTGCGGCATTTTATGCCGGGCTCATGGGGTCTGCCACACATTACACCATTTTTTGCCCGACTGCGAGAATACAAAATCGCATCCTCGCGATGGGACTAAAGTGGAAGATCCAGGCTATTAGAGCTGTTCGATCTCTTATCGAGCAGCACCAATCCGGTTCTCCTAGAGAATTCACGAATAGCGATCTTCTCGCCATCTTTGTCCTTGCTATCCATGGTAGCATCAATTTTTCAGACGAACCGGAGCCGCACCCGTTGTCGCCCTTTGCTACATACCGCCACATGCATGTCTACGGCCGGTTGCAACCTGGCAAGGAGCATATGAACGCCATTTATTACATCGTCGACCAGAAAGGTGGAATATCGAATATCGACCAGCATGCCTTTGGCTTCGTTTTGCCTATGTAAGTCTATGAATTCCCACGGTACATCGGACATCCCATCTCGGCGGAATGCTGTCTGCTAACCTCCATTTTGTTAGCCTCGATATGCTTTACAATGCGCGGCTAGACACTCCACCTAGGTACCCATGTTCGCGCCAGCTGAAGCCAATGGTTCAAGAAGGTCTATGGGCCCCGGATTTGGAAGCTCATCAAAAGCTCAAGACCTTAGGCGAGTGCTTCCGGACAAGCCCTGATGCATCTTTGCCCACGGCTCCCTATCTGGAACCCAAGATGGTCAAGCTCCTCGAAGTCATGGCAGAAGTAACTGTGGCCCTTGACCATTATTGCCGCCGCGGACCTGGAGCACCGGATTCCCTTGATGTGTTGGCTAATAACTGCGATTGGGCATCGCATGCCATTCTGTCTCTGCCTCCCTACATCCCGTTGGCCATGTCTCGAAGCGACCTAGACCAGCAGCCGGATATTGATACTACTACTATCCTTCATGAGATATGCCGACTTTGCACCCTTCTCTACCACGATATGGTCCTTCTTCCAACTCCCCCACATACAGGAACCAAGTTACGCCACTCGACCAGAGTTTTATGCTTGATCCAAGTTATACAGCGAAAAGACCCTATAGAAGACCTCCGTGCCTTTGATTTTTTAACTTGGGCCATGGTTATAGGCGGAATCGCCGCAAGGTTCACAAAGCTTCAAGTCTCATATATCAAACTCATTGAAAAGGTTGCACGAGACACAGCATGGGAAGTGATTCATCCCCGATGGGAGAGATATTTATGGTTTAACACTGTATGCGATGAGCCGGCTTCGATTATTTGGTTCAAAGCGCAACAAGAGCGCCTTTCGGAATAAATTTTCTCTTTGGGCGTCGGAAGATGCGTACATAGCTTTAACTTTGCCTCGTGCCTTGAGGAACGAAAGGTCTATGCCCCGCCCCCGATGCCCCTCCCTTCCGACCTTGAAGAACGCCTTTGATTGGTCAGTTTGCCTTGAGGAACGAAAGGACTATGGCCCCAAATACGGATATCGCAACGCGTGCCTTGATCGTCACTCTCAAGGCTCCCTGCAGCGGCAAGACCACTGCTGAGGTAGCTGAAATCACGGGACTTTCGGTCCGTCAAGTCAACCGTATCTATGCACGAGCGATCGAGCGAGGGTTTAACCCTATCACCTATAAAAACCATCGGTTAAGCTATCAATAGTTTTTTTCTATAGGAGAATTTTTTTACGCTAATAGACTATAGGGCAGCCGATAGTTTTTTTCTCAACTAGCCGATAGTTTCTAAAAAAGAGGGTTCTAATAAGATTAGGGTTATATAAAGAAGATATATATAACTTTAAGCTATAAGGATTTTAAAAATTAAGTCCTTTTTCTTATAGTATTTTTCTAGAATTAATTATTAATTATTAAAGAAAATTTAAGGAAAATTTAATAGGGTAATTAATATAATTAGCGCTATGCTAAAACTCTCTAATTACCGCCATAACCTAGCTACCTAGCCATATTAACTACCTCGCTAGCCATAATTAGGGTTATTCCTTAGCTAATAAGCTTTAACCTCTTTTTTTCCTCTTTTTTTTATTCTTCTATAAAGACTCTAATTTTTCCTAATTATCTACCTTTAACCTCTATCTCTATCTATATCTTAGTTATTTATATACCTTATAACTATAGATTATTTTACTTATATCCCTATTTTTTCCCTTCTAATTTATAAGACCTATAAAATTATAATTCTTTTTAATTAAATTTAATAATACCTCTACTAATAGCCTTATTAGCTTTCCCTCTAAGAGATTAAGCTTACCTTAGAGTAAGCTACTAAGCTTAATCTTCTTTAGGGCTAGAAAGACCTTATAGGGCTACCTAAGCCTATTCCTCTAAGCCCTCTTATCTCATAACTTAGAGAGCCTATATAATAGGGCTTCTACTATACCTTTAAGCCTAGCTACTTCTATATTAGCTCTAGGCTATAGCGAATTAAAGAGTATATATGGGTCTTTTATAAGGTCTAGCAAAAAGGCTAAGATAACTAGCCTTCTAAGGCAGCAGCCTTATAGCCTTCTATAGCTACTAAAAGCTATTAGCGAGCTGACATAGCCTATTAATAGCTCTTTAAGTAAGGGCCTCGCAATAAATACTTTAAGGTCTTACTAGAAGGTAATAGCTCTAAAGCTCTCTCTCTTCTAGAGGCTAAGGCTACCTTTAAGGCCTAAGCCTTAGCTATTAGAAGCAAAGAGGCTAAGGCTATAAAGTAGCTTAATAACTTTATTACTTCTAACCCTTAGCTTCAAAGGCTAGGATTAATAAGGCACCTAGCTAACTTTAATAGGGAAAAAGACTTCCTAAGAGAGCTACTTTCTCTTAACCTTTCCCTAATTAAAGAGTCTCTAAAAGAGACCTCTAAGCTAGATTACTTCTTCCTCTTGCGGGCTTTTAAGGAGCTTATTTAAGAAGCTATAGGCCTTATAGCTTCTAATGAGATTCCTCTGAATACTCTCTTTGAGGTTAACCGGCAAGATGCCTCGCAGCCAGCAAAGAAGCCCTAGCTACTATGGCTCGAGGACCTTTCAGTAAAAGGTCAGACCCCGGTCAGGTTCGCAGGTACCCCGCAGAGCATGATTTAGGTGGGAAATAACATAGCTTAATAGCGTGCGGTCGTTAAGTAAAGTGAAAGGTAATTCAAGTGAAAGGGCATAAGCTAATTAGACCAAAACTAATGCCAGGGTCGCAATAAACAAAAGCAAAAACCAATACGAAACGCCGAGCTACTATAACGACGACGAGGACGAGGATATAATATGCATATACTTATAGAATAACGAATTCGAACTATAATTCTAAAAAACGAAGGGTAAAAAGAGATATCCGTCAGAAAGAGAAAAGTATATTCCTACCCTTATGAGTTATCTAACTCAAAAGCCTTACTATTAGCCTCATATTTACTAACGTATAGAGCGAAGGAGGGTAAATAACTAGCCTTTACGCTTCTAGAGGGTTTATAAAAAAAGGGGGTAAGGTCTCTAGATTATAAAATAAAGAACTAGCGTTCCCTCCTTCCTTACTCTTTGCATCCTTATCATCCTTATCATCCTCGTCAAATATTTATATACTATTTATGATCATCATATATATATATTCATGCCGCGTATTCACAGCATGGGGTTAGATATTCTCCGCTATGACCCTAATCACCGGGTTATTATCTGCCGGCTATGCCGGACATGTCTAGTCCCCAAGGCGGCAAGCTAGAGGAGCCACCTGCGGGCCGAGCCACACCGAATAAGGGGTAAGGAGCTAAGGACGACCATTAAGCTCTTATCGAGTTACGACCTACGCCCAGTAGAGGAGCTCCGTCAGTAGAGGCCAGATAGGACGAGACCTTGCCGGCCAATCGAAGGCCTAACCGGGAGGCCAGCGGTAGTTTAGGCCAAACTACCATCTCGGGGTCAGGGGCACGGACTAATAGCCATGCAGGGATATACGCGGGGGTAGGTCCTAGACGCAGATAGGGGGGCCAAACTACTAGTCCTAAACTACTATTTTATAGTATAGCTAATTAAGATAAAAGAAAAGTAACTTTAGGGTTAAGGAAAAAATAAGCTAAGGGGGGGGAAATATAATAAAATATATCTCTAGAGGCTAAATAGACCTTTCGCGACTTAATAAAATAAATAAGCCTAAATCTTAATTATTACTGAGTAAAAACTGCCCGTATTTGGCAGGGTTAGGCCTAGAAATTATATCTCTTTTGAGTTCTCTTCCGCCTCTAAACCTAGGGGTAGGTATCTATGCACCCTCCTTACTCCTAAACCCTTAAAATCTCCCCTTTAAACCTAGGGGTAAGTATCTATACTTATTTATTACTCCTAAAACTCTTAAAATATTAATTATTATCTTACCCCTAGGTTTAATTATCTATGCCTACTTACTCTTAATTCTTATTTATTAACTCTTAATATATTATATTATCTAAGTACTCTTATACTCCTATTAATAATATCTAATCTATTTATTATAATCTAATAGTTTAGTAATCTAATAGTCCCTCCCTCTATATAACTTATTATACTTATTATCCCCCTATTAATTAAATTAAATAATTAATTAATTTATTTTATTCTCTTATTTCCTAATAAAATATATATATATATATATATATCTTTATTATATTTCCCTTACTTTTCTTTTTTTTTTTCCTTTTACTTTTTACCCCGCTTACCTCTATACCTCTTTTACTATTATAATCTTATCTTATATTATTTCTTAATATTTACTACCTTATATTATCCTAAAATATAAAATATTTCTCTAATTATATTTCTAATTATTAGACTTAGCTTACCTCTAAATAATATCGCCTAACTTATAATAATCTATCTTCTCCTAATTATTATTATTATTATTAGCTATTAATTCTATCCCTGCTTATAACCTAACCTATTATACCTAGATTTAATCCCCTGCCTAGCTTATCCGCTAGTCTATCCGCTAGCTATTAATAATAATTATCCTCTAACTCTATTAAACCACTAAAGCCTTCTCTATTATTATTTATAGAGGTTAACTTACTAAGAATATAGGCTAAACCCTACCGCCTTGCTATTACTAAGTTTCTTATTAGCCTCCTTATATCCTTATAGTCTCGCGGTAATAATAAACCCCTTAACTATAATTATATTACCTACCTTTATTATTCTTTTTATTATAAGAATCTCGCCTATTAAGCTAAGGAGAATTATATCTAGGTTACCTATAGTATAGCCGCTATTAATAGTATTATTAATATTATTACTATAATAGATTATTATCCTTATTATTATTATAATCTAACTAAATATTACTATATATTATTATTTAGGCACTAGGCTAATATTAATAATAAGAAACCTAAGCTTATAGCCGGCTAATATTATATTAAAGTATTATAAGACTATATAAAGTAGACTAATTTTAGCTTAATCCGCGCATGGAAGTATGGTCGGGTTAGCGAGGTCGCGTGGGACTTAGTGAAATCATAGACTAGGTAAAAAAAATCGACATTTAAATCCACTAAAAATCCAGAAAAGCTTATTTCATACGAAAAAAAATACGTTTAGGTAGAAAGAGAGTTACTTAATATACTCTGCCATTTCATTCTTATTTTAATCCTTTACTATATATATTATGCTGGTTAGAAGATAGAAATTACTAGGAGAATCTAATTCTGCCTCTGGAGTATAGCTCTTAGGCTATCGAATATGGTTAGATCTATCTTCGCTTCTAGCCAATGAAACTTGCTATTCGCGGCGACGATATCCCTATCGAAAATAGTAACCCAATGATATCGCATACTAACGGCGATAGTATCCCTGCACGGTGGGGCAGAAGGTCGCTTTGGTCTTAGCGGGCGATTATATCTTTGTCGTTTTATTGACTAATCCTATTAACGCTTTGCGGCGATACCACCCTAGTTCGTATCGCCCTTTTGACCACCCGTCTGCTACCTCGAACTCGATGAAATTATCGCGGTTAATAAAAATCGAGAATAACTTCTATATCTACGTAGTAATAAACTATGGTTATAGAAATCTATTAGCCTAGATGTCTCTTTTGTCTAATATTAATATTAGATTAAAGGCAACACTAATTAAGATTATCTAGCTAGCGACTAGACTAATATCGCCTACCCTATACTATTGCGTTAAGCGTATGTAATCGCACTCTCATTACGCATATATATATACACGTAGCCGCACCCTTATATCTATAGAAGTCGGGGTATAAAAAAAAAAAGGCCAAGGGGATTTTTCTAGTTTCCTAATTCAATAGTTCGCTTACTTTAAGAAGCTAATAGAGGACTAGTAGTATTAGAAGCACCGCTATTATCACTAAGAACCGCGTTCTCCATAAATTCTATCACCTATATAACGACCTAATAGCTAGTTAATTATTAAATGCTTAATCATAATAAGTATCTAGAATCCATGTTTACTTACTTAATATTATTTATCTTATTGCCCCTATTTCTAGTTAAGAGCTAGTCTCTATAATCCCTATTTCTTCCCTTATCTAATCCTTAAGCATCTAACTATCAGCCTAGCTATATGCCACCGAAACTCAGATAGAGGTTTCTCAGTAAACGCTCCAGTTAATACCCTCGCGAATCCCTAATATGCTCATTTATCAGCCGAAGCAATAATAGCCAACGTAAACAGAACGCGTCAGTAGTTTATAAACATAGCTTTTTTAATAAGTCGATTCTCCTATAAGAGTATCCTCCTCCACTACTATTATCATTAAGCAGAGCAAAATTCTTAATAGCTCGTCCCCCTATCCCTAATAATAAAAGAAAGAGACGCCAATGAGAATAAGCTAGGACGCGTCGCGAAAAGAGGCTACAGAAAATCCAAGAGCAACACCACTAAGAATATCAATAAAACCCTTTTATTAAGCTCATCGGTAGACGCCCGCTATTGCTAGGCTATGCCAACAATAATAACGCTTCCCCTAATTAAGAAACTCTTGCCGACCGACCTGGTTCTATCCCGACTACTAAGGCAGCTCCTACGCGAAATGGCAGCCACTATCTATCAGCGGCGCGGCCACTATAACCACCGCGACGTCGAAGCCCAAGACTCCCCGGGCTAACCCCTCTACTAGCTAAGGCATCGGAAGTTATCTCGGTAGACGGCACTATTTCGCCGGATCTATTACTCGCCGAAAGAATAAGATCGTCTAGACTAGGTGACTATTATCATTCCTAGAGCGGTTTCGCGAGTTCTCAATAACCGCTAGTATGTCTACGTTATTATACTACTAGACCCGGCTAAATATAAATAGCATCATCAAATAGCAAATAAAATATAAAGCTTCGCGAATCTTCTATCCCCGGATTCACAAATCTAATATTACGCGATACTTCCTCCGCTTTCGCATCTCCTCCCCTAGAGTCTAATCTCGAGTCTAGACCTAAGCTAGAATTAGATAAAGGATCTAAGTTTACACCTATTTCTCTAGAGTTATCCTCTAGTTCCGTCGCTTCCTATGTTCCCAAAGACTTACTACTTAGTGATAAAGAACTCATAGCCTGCCTATTAACCCCGGCCGCGTCCGAGCCTAGTATATCCTATCTATCCCTATCTACTTCATTAAGCCGTTTAGGTTCGCCTAGTCTATTACCTTCGTCGGCCGGGAGGGCTCCCCCTGACTTTTACTTAATACCGCTATAGCTATTATCTCCTGGCCTAAGTAGTTTAGCTCTTACCGCTTTCCTCTAAGCTATTCACGACTAAGAAACCAGAGGTGGGCTTAATTACCTCGATATATAGAGCGATATATACGACGATATATTCCGGATAGTCTTTAGAATTAAATATAGCTATAAGACTCTATCGTCGTATCTAGCCTCGAATACTATACTTACCTACTATTATACTTAGGCGCCTACCTAGAAGATCACGACAAGCATAAGCAGATATATTATACCCTCTAGGAAAGAGTAGTTTATCTTTAACGCCACTTACCGCCTCTATCGGATATCTTTATAAAGCAAGGGACATATGACTCTCATGCCTTTTTCCCATAATAGCAGCGATTCCTCTCCTATTATTAGTATTAACTACTCTTACCGCTCTCCTTCTAAAAGACATAAGCTATATACTCTTAAGAGTCTATCTAGATAGCGCGTCAATAAGATATCAATAGTATCTAGCTTAGAGCTAATAACCTCAGGGCGATTTACGCACCGAATAAGTTCCGCCTCTCCTTTCTTCCCCCTTTTACTCTAAATCTTTCCACGGACTAAGTAATCTAGCCATATAGGCTCGATCTAGCCAGGACGCGCCATATTCTATTCGGGTCATTCAACATACCTAGCATCCGCTTTGCCGTCTTTCTCTTCTTTCCCGAGTCTACCCGCATACCTCGATCAAAGATATCTATATCCTCGAATTCTCTATCTCTCGACCGGTAGAAAGATCTTTATAATAATATCATCATCCCTACTACCTACGAGATAATTCCTAACCCTTTCTACTAAGAAATACCCCCGTTATTCGAAATTACCTATATAAAGTCTCGCTCGTACTAGGAGAGGCTAGCCACGAGACGATAGAAAGTAGGCGATAAGAGCCGATTATTTAACCTCGCATATAATCTCCCCGCATAAGCGCTCTCACGTTTCTAGCGCGCTATTATGGAAAAGGCGGGCCAGTTCTATATCCAGACGCAACGAGGCGAAGCTATCCTATACTTTCAGAACCCGCGTCTACTCTTCTAGACTCACGATATTAAGAATATATTTGCTAGGCCGAGTCTTTATGAGAGCCTCTATTACTTCGAGAGGATAGTTCTTACTACTCTAGACCCTAGCCAGTTAGATCTACACTTATGTTGGCTCGATATTAGAACCAGAGACTTTGTGACTATACCCGAGGAACCCTATACGGTCCTCTAGAAGAGCAATTGCAATCATTATCTAGAGGAGCAATTCCAAATAACCGCCCTAGAAGCCAACCTAGCAACAACATACTTTTAATCTTTCCTCCTCTGCGACACGGGGACTTTAATATTAAAAGCAAAGCCTTCATAGCGTCCCAACCTAGGCCATCCGGAATCTCAATAGCCTAGAATTACTCGCTTCAAGGCATATAGATACAACAAAGAGCTCTTCTCCGTCATATTTAGTCGCTATAGACTCTTTTAGTCCGGTTCTTTCTTACTTCTCGCGTTAAGCAAAGGAATAATACGGGACCTTACTTCAATAAGCAAAAGCCGCTAGCGGGCACACATCAATCAGCTCCACCGTAAGCCCCTCCTCCGTGCTTAGGAGGCTAATAAGCGATATATTAGAGCCCTCTCAGATCCCAAAGCCCTAGCAAACTACGGGGCTCAGAAGGAGGGTATATTCCGCCTCGATACCATCCTGACGATACTTAGCCGAGGCTTCTTCGACCCTAATCAAAGCCCCCATATCGGGCCAGTATCTTAGTCAATTCCACTCCGCCATAGGTCTAGGGAAGATAATAATAACTATTATCCGTTCTAGGTCATACCGACTAGTAATATTAACGGCCTAATATTCACACAAGCTACTCGCTTCGTCCTCCCCCTCGACTATCTTTTTCAGGAGGCATTATTAGCTTCCTCCTCTGCCGGCTCCGCGAAGTTATCCATTCGATAGATACTCTCCTATTATACCGCTTAACTCTTCTATCGACTCCTACTACTAGCCTTTAGTAGCGAGCGAGAGGCGAACCATAATAAGTAGATATAGCTCTCAGAGTAGAGGGTGCGGGGGCAGCGAGGGTCTATAAAGGAGCGACGAGGCCTTAGGCTTAAGGAATCTATTAATAAATCCGGAATACTATAGATTCCTCGCGACCGAATCGACTAGCGGCGCGGATATATTGCTCTCGAAACATTAATCCATCTCTATATCCCGAGGAGCCTATTTTAGGCCCTACTAGCCTCGCAAGCTAATATTCAGGAACTTATAACTACCTAGCTAACGGTTAAGTTCTATCTCTAGGAGTAGGTTCGAGATGCTCGGCAGGCGTTCGACGAAGGCCAGGAGGATAAGGGCAGGCAGCTCGCTCTGCGCATCGTTCGACTCTCTGCAGAGGAGATTACTCGCGCCTATAACCAATATCTTCTTGCCAAGATATAATCATACTAAGAGCAGGCGCGAGGAAACCTAGGATGTAGTATACTCCCCGCCCTAGCTCAGCTAGAGCAGGCCCGGAGAGATACAGCCTCTAAGAGAAGCCGGATTATTACAGCCCAGACGATCTTAGAGATTTATATAGAGGCATAGGCCGTATATGCCGTAGCAGCGTCGTCGTCGCCGTCGTCGCCGTCGTCGTCGTTATTATCTAGCGATACCCACCAAGATAAATAAATGCCGAGCGAGATACCTTATTAGGTAAAAATAAGAAAGTATCGGCCGCTAAAAGACAACTAGTTTAATTTTATTTTTAAACTTCTCCTAGGCTATTCTATCTCACCAACATAGAATCGCGTCTATTTCCTCTAAGTCTATAAGACGTTCAAAGCCTTTTAGGAGACTATCCGCGAATCGGCAGGATTATTCGACGCTCACCTAAGGCATACCCTCGGTAGTTATATTATAGTTACCTTTAATAGTAATCAG